GAAGGATTCGAGGGACTTGATATATAGTAACAATGAAGGGCTGCATATAATTGAGTCGTTTAATGCGCGAGTAGTAGTATTTAGGTGAGGAAGTTTGCGATGCATGAGGTTTTTTTTTTTTTTTTGTAGCATGTTGCAACACAGTCGTTGAAAAAGTTGCGACTTTGTATACCATACATTGGGCTCTTACGGGAGAAACGAGTAATCCGACATTTAATTTCATGTGTCTATTGTAAAATACTAATAATCAAGTGTTTTCTGATTTTTTTGGCGTAGCATACAGTTTGTATGGCGCTAGTAGTTCTGTACTGTCTTGTACATATGCATAAAAAAAAAAAAAAAAAAAAAAAAAAAGAAAACTGAGTATTATAGATTTCTTTTTTTTTTTTAATGCCGATTAAATGAATGAAAAGAATAACCTCTCGTTTTTAGGCACGTTTGCTACATAAAAGTGCTTTATAACATGTTTACCAGAGCAAACGTATGAGGACATAAATATCGACTACATCGAAAAGTTTACTTTCAAATGGGCTCAAATTCAGATTGTAGTTTCGTTTTCGTGCCACAACCTGGCAGTTTTTAATCCAGAAAATTTCCTGAAAGGGAAAAATGTTACACCAGCCCAAAGATTGTACAACTCTGAGAAATTAAAATCAGTTTTTTGCATGTACTTTTATAAGTAGATTCTTTTGGTTCATGGATACACAGCCGAGAAAAATATAAATTTGAAAGTAACGAAACTATTGATCACTTATTTGGATCGAAAAAAAAGTATCTTCATACCTTAACAATAAAAAAGATATTTTACAGGTTCCGAAAATCATTTTTTTTTGTATCTCTTGAAAATTTAATGACTTGAACATTTGTTATCAAAGGAAAAGTTGTAGATGTTGAAAAAAATAGATTTTCGTCAAATTCAACCACAGATTGAAAACATTAAAAAAAAGTATAGTAGTCTATGAAACAATTAAACTGTCATATTTGTTTTCATTGTTTTATATTTTCCAAAAAACCCCAAATACCTATTGTGTTTTTTTAGTGGCAAGATTTCCGTATTCTTTGAAATATTAACTCATTGAATGCATTTCACGTGCAACTTTAAATAAACATTTTTACTTTTGCTGAATCGAGCGAATTGGAACTCATTTGAGAATAAAATTTTTTTTTATTACGATGCTCTGATAGGTTTTGTACTAAGCCATCATTAAATGACTTGAAGCTTGTTTGCCTTACACGTGTGACGAGGAACGAAAAAATTGTTTTGTCTAAGGTTTCATGTTACGGAAGCCCACTTTTTGTCATTCCCCTTCGTTTGCGCAATCGTAAGGTAACGCATACAAAGACTACCACCGAAGATTAACATTATCGCCATCAAGATTACAATATTGCATGCGCCAAGGTGTTCGCCGTGGATATTTTCACCTAAACAATGCGTAATAATTATGAAAAAGAAAAATTAAAACACGCGACTGCCCTCTCCTGTATTACAAAATGCGCCAACGACATTAGTTATTAATTGAGTAACGTTATGCAAAAAAAAAAAAAAAAAAAAAAACTGCATTTTGTCCTCTCGACCTACATATTATGTATTTCCCATTATCTCGGAATCCTTTCGAAATCCTTTTTGCACCCCAACAAACAAACGAACAAACAAATCGCATTGCGATGAAAATTTTTCAATGCCCAATACGTTTTTGTTGCGCGATCAAAATTTACATATTCCCCCCCCCCCCCCAAACATCTGCTCCTCCGGCTTCGAAGCATTGTTAATAAGCAAATCCATTGAAAAACCCCAAAGTGCTCCTCCGGTATCTGTTTACCGAGTAACCCGTGCGTATATTCCACAAAAGGCCAATTGAATCCCAATCACTTCACCAGCGGCACCTCTCGATTATACCCCCTTTGAATTACGCAAAGTCTCCTTTCTTCGCACTTTTAATTGCCCCCCCCCCCCCTTTTGCGTAACACACCCCGACGCGCGAGAGCGATTTTTATGACCGCGTTGTTACTGCGTGTATACTATACATGTATATATACGCACACGCGCGCGTATACGTGGGATTTCCGTCCTCCCTCCCCGAGAACAGCGCCTAATGAACTCCTATCTCCGACACTCCTTTCCGAGGTGTAACGGCGTTAATTAGATTACGCGTAATGTATGTGTATTCCAACTGACTTCCGGACTCCCGAGACAAATTGAGAGCTATCGAGAAAGGTGTCACCTCTCACGCCGGGAGGAACGAGTGTAGGTTTTTTTTTTAAAAATGTATATACGTGGGTATGAGACTCGCAGCCGTGACCTAAGCTAAAAGCCGCGGGGCGGGTTTATTGACTCGCGCTTGCGGTTTCGTTTGGCTTCTTTTTCTCTTCATCTCCGGCGGTGTGCAGTTGGCTCTCGGTCAGGGACAGGCTGCACAACGACGCGGTGAAATTGTAACTCTCGCGTAAGACGCTCGTATAACGCGAAAACTCGAGGGGAGATATATCGAGTTCCGGGCTACGCAAAATTATTTCCAGTCGATGCTTCATATTTTGTTTCGGTAATTAGGGATTTTTTTTCGCGGAGACCAAAGAATTTTATATGTAATTTTTACGATGGTTTTTTTTTTTTTTTTTTTTTTTTTTTTTTGCAGGGTAAAAAAATCATATACCCCCAATAAATTACATCCTAATAATTTTTCAAGGTCTACGTGTTAATTTTTACATTATTTTGTACTTTATAAAGAAAGCATTTGATTATTTATGAAAAATGTTAATTATCGGAGGAAAAGAGCTATTTTTCAATGTAACAGTTTGTGGATATAAATTAATATAAAATGTATACATACATGATTTATATATTTATTTAATTTAATTGATAATTTTATTAATGCCAATAACTACAAACAACTGATTTTTCAATACAGAAACATTTATAAATTGTCCAAAAAAAATAGAGCTCTATTTACGCTACGTACGTATCACTGATTATTCGTAAGTAACGAAACGACCCTCAGCCACACCGGCTATGCCAACCGTACGACGTCTCGGACGATTTATTTTTTTTTTGCACAAAATGGTAAAAACGCACCGGAGCAGTATAGGCGGTAGTGCACCGGTAGCATATAGACATAGAGAGAGAGAGAGAGGCGCGGGTATTTCACTTTCGAGAGGTGCATGCTTACCTATACACACAAGGCGTTTTAGAGCAACAACTCAGGGGGGAGGGAAAGCCACGCGGACTACCGGAGTATAAAGGCTTACGGCCTACCGGGGGAGGCATCAAGTGCAGTCGGGCGCTCGAGCAGTCTGCGTTTACCGGCAAACATGCGTTTTTCGGTAAGTCCAGCCTGTACTGCAATCACTCGTTAATATCGATCGAAGAGGAAATTTTTTTTTTTTTTTTTTTCTCTTCGATAGTGTCACTTTTGTCACACGAATTGAAAGTGATTTTGCGATCTAACTAGTGATTGGACCAAAAGTGCGTGGTGTGAATTATTCATTGCAAAGTGCCGATGATGACTCTACGGGTTTTTAAAAAAGTAACGACTGATTTTGCGTGAAATGAGGTTTTTATAATTCAACATCGTCACAAGCAAAGCGGACGATTTTTGTGCCAATTATTAAAATGTTATGTAAAATGTCAAGAATGACTATCTGATTATATACGACTTGCAATGTATTTTTGTGTTTTAAAGACAAAAAATAATTTTCAACAATTTATTTTTTCATTTACAATTTTAATCACACAAAACTGTAAAGTTGTGAGTTACTCGTACATTTTTTTTTTTTTTTGCTCTTCAAAACACACTTTGCGTACACGGAAAATACGAAAAGTTTGATGCGCCTCGAGGGTACAATGTTTACCTTGCCACGTACATGCAGGATTGCGGCTATAGGTGTACGAGAGCGTGAGACTTCTTTATTCGGCAAATAAACCATTAACCTACTTTGGCGTTCAAAGTTGCCGGGACACCGGATTTCAACAGAGGCCCTCTTGTAATATTCCCCACTTCACCGATGCATAACCCAAATGCTCACCAAAGAGCGAGCATATATGTGCACGCGCGAGTTGTTTCATGCCCGCGTACACGTTGTATTTCTCAAGAGTCGTGAAATTAATTCGGGCGCTATACGATTTCAATGCTATACGTATAGCAGTGGCGTTGCGATTTAACGATTTGTGCTCTCGGGGTTGGCCAATATTGGTGCTCGCTTCTGTCTATCCGGGGGGTTGCGAAATTTTTATACGGAACCTGATTTATCAGTGCACTCAGACTTGGGCACGTATGGGATGCTGTTCGCGACTTTTTTTCCAAAAATATAATAAACTTTTTTCTTTTATTTATTACTTTTGACAATGTAATTTGTTTTTTTTTTTTTTTTTT